GAATGTAAATTAATGCAACTCCTTAGCAGGGCTGTTCTGGTGTAAGTGAGAGCAGGACTAGGGCCAAGCTCCTGCTAGAACAAATAAACAACATATCTCAGGAATGTCCTTTTGTGCACAGAAATGCTACTTGGAAAGGCTTGGGTGTCCTTTATGTGGCAGGACTGCCTTGTGAAAATGAAAATTCACAGGCTAGCAGTGTCTGCATATGTGAGGAGCACTGCGGGGCAGTCTGGAAGAGTGAAAGCTCCTGCCAGTCAGTACAGGTTGTTTTGGGTTAGGACTGAAGAGGATTTTCAGTGTTCTGTGTGAGGCCAAGCCTGGAAGCACGGAGCAGGTGGGAGCTGAAATGGCAAAGCTGGTTTCGTGGCTCTCAGGCTGAGAGAAACAGAAAGTTACAGCAGGATGGAGTGGAGGAACAGCCTCTGAGCTGCAATCACTCTTGATTTACCTGTGCTCATGTTAGGGCAGCTCAGCTCTGGCTTTTGGGAACAGCAGATTCACCCAGTTAACAGAGCTGTCAGGAACTGATGGCCTAAGAAGATTATTTTCAAGCTGAACTGAAATCTAAAACCTGACTCTTGGCCAGCTAGAGCGGTTGTTAGACAATTACCCACTGTCTCCTCCAAAGCCCTGCCAGACCTTTATAAATAAGGAGGGAAGGGTGCAATTCAGTTTTACAGGCAGCTTTCAACTCTTTGTAAGCTAAAATTCAGGAGATTCTAATTACTGTAGCTGTACTTGAGTGACAGGGTTTTAGTGTTTCCCTAGAGAGTTATTATTAAGCCTCATAACAGCGAGCGTATTTCCCTTGCTTTTTTGTGGGTAGATCCCAAAGTATTGTTCAAACTCTGTTACCAAAGGTACTCACTCCAGATGAAATGTAAGAGCTGCTCAGCAGCCTGCTACCAACCCTGCACAGACCCCTCGGGGAGTGGTTGTATGAGGCTTTGCATAGTTGCACCAGTGTAACAGATTAGGGTTAGGCTAATGTAAAACCTTGAGACATATTTATGTAGCATGTCCAAACAGGTTTTCTCTTGGAAGCCAAAACCGTCTTTGTCCTTTCTGGGTCTTAGATTATTATAGTTTATCCCAGTAGAGTGTACTGGGGAGTGGGTAGGGTAGATGCAGCAAACCAAAAGCTGATGCATGACAATGCAGAAGAGCATTGCTAGTCCCTGCTGTGCCATGGTTAGAGTCTGAAGAAAGCTGGGGTCTCCTCCTCACTTTACCACTTGCATGATCTTGTGCAAATAATTTATTACCTCTGTGGTTTTCTCCCAAGTTACCCAGTGAACCAGAGCATAAATTCCCCAGGGATAACCCCTGCAGGTGACACAGCTCCCAGTCTTTTGTGGGGAGCAGCTGGGCAAGAGCAGATCTCAATGACCTGCTGTAGTGAGGGCAGAGGATTGTGTCCAGGCTCCTGGGAGAAGGACACTGACCCAGAGCATCCATGCAGAGCCTCAGGAGGCTGGTACAGCCCTTGGTGTCTGTGCCAGACCCACGCTGCCAGCTCACCATGCTGCTCACACCGTAGCCAAAGTGGCACCACGTAGAGTAAGTCCCAGGCTCCCGTCTCCTTGGGCACCAGGGCTGCCAGCAGACTGTAGTGTGGCACCAGCCACCAGGCCATGCAGAGGTGTTACCAGTACTTGAAGCCACACTCCAGTCTGCTCCCAGTTTGCTCAGCCTAAAAGGAGCCTGGGGCAACAAGCATCTGAGCATCAGCGTCTGATGTTGCTACCAAAGTCCACTGAAACTTCCAGCAATGGATTTTCAGAGCTGTGCAGAAAATCAGTAGAACTTTCCAAGCTATGTCAGGTTAGGCTGACAGCAGTGGAACTATGTTTTGTTGCTTTGGAGAACAGTGGTATATCCCACTTCCTCGTTCCCTCAGGCAGCCTGGCCTCTGGCTTCACATTTTTCTTTAATTTTGCAATCCAAATTTATTTTTTAGTTCCAATTTTCACCTAATAGGTTGTCCACCCTATGCTCCCTTCTTAAACCATTTATTTATGAAGGAGATCCTTTGATGTGGTTTCAGTCTTCCTCTTGAAATCAATTGTGCTAGACCTCTGACTTCTGCCAGATTTTTTAACATCTCATTGAGTGCTTCCCTGCATCTTCTAGGAATCTAAATACCATTAATATCTGACACTTGGACTCTACCAGGCCTTCGTGTCCTGTCTGTGCAGTGACAAGCTCTCACTGCCTCGCTCTGCTTTGGCAGATAAACATACTGAAAACACAGTGGTGGCCTCAGCTCTCATCTACACCGGAAAGTGAAACTAGGGTGTGAATTCACAACGTGCAAACAACTCTTCATAACACCTCTTCTGAGCTCTTCTCCTGCCTCTGAAAAGTGTCTTTGGGTGATGTGATTTTCATCACTGTCAAAGAGGGGCAGGAGACCTCGCTCGTGGGGCATAGGACTGTCCCTTCCAACGAGCACACAGAGTAGCTGACCTGCTGAAAATCCCCCAGTGGTGCTCCAGGGCTTGGGCTTTTGGATGGATGGCAGGAGATTGTAGAGATAGGGGCTCTCATTCATCATCATACTGGCTACTTGGAGCTCCTACAGATTTTTGAGGGAGCGGGAAGGAGGCAGAAAACACCCCCTCTGGGTAAGAGTTTCTGGCTGTAAGAGTTTCTGGCTATTTCACATGATCTATCAAAAAAATTACAAAATGCTGCCAACTAGTAAAGCTTTTGAAGAGCCTGTTGGAAAGATGGCATTCACGGAGCGGGCCTGGGGCAGGGGAGGGTTTCTTGCCAGGGGCGGTGGAATGAGTCTCACCAGTAAGTCTTGGCAGCCAGGGCTGCTCCAGCACGGTAGTCACACACCACCAGACAAATCCAGGAGGTAATTTCTGTGCTCAGGATCTCTCAGCGTGGCTGGTGCCTGGTTCTGGCGATGGAGGTTATGAGCGAGCAGCGTGCCTCTCCCCTCCCCCTGTAGAAGCCCCTGGGGAGCCATCCTGCCGCTCTCTGTTGCACTTGCAGTAAATCTACAGGATTGCAAGCTACCCCAGCTGCCTTCTTCTGCCAGCTGCAGACATCATGATCACTTGTTGACACACACTCACACATACTACGTGTTTTGGGCTGCAACATCTGGCTTGCTCTGGGTTTTGTAATCTAAGCTGTGGATGCCAAAGACTCCCCACACCCACTCTCTCCTGGTCAGGTGCTGGAGGGGGAGTGCAGCAGAGTGAAGAGCTCACCCTTGCAGACACCACTGAAGGCAAGGAGGCTTTCCAGGTTTCCCACTGTTATTTGAGCTTTTGGCGTTTACCCAGGACTGGCCTGGAGCTGACAGATCCTGGGAACCTCTGCACTGAGCCTGGCTTAGGGAAATCACAGTCACTGGGATGGGGTAGGGGTTTGTGGGGGAAGGCTGATGATTACCCCTGCTAATCAAAGCATGTCTCAGCATGGATATCTGCAGTAAGAATCCCTGAGCCTTTTAGCATCCCTTGTCCTGACATGAGTGGGAATTTGCCACTGACAGCAGGGACTTAAAAATATAGTCTTCAACCCATCTGCATCTTCTGTCCCCACCTACAGAGAACAGCAGCACAGAGCTGCCTGATGTTGGGGGAAGCGACAGGGTAGAGGTTGTGAGTGGTGACACAGAGATGCTGTAGCTCGTACAAGTGCTTTGGCCCCGAGCTCCTGATGGGAGACTCGTCTGACCTCTACCTAGTGATCCAGCATGGAAAGGCAGCTGATACCTTACAGCCTGCTTGGGTGACTGCTTCAGCACATCACCCAGTGGTGCCTGGGCTGGAGGAGCTCCTGCTCTCGTTGTGTTGTTCCTCATTCGTGTCCTCCCTGCTTCCCCTCACCAGTAGTTTAATCCAGGGCAAAGCCATTCTGTGTTTCTGACACAGCACCAGCCTCCCCCCATCCCTTCTGTATTTCATCAGTGGTTCCCTCTAGGAGCTCGTCCTGCCAATCAGGAGGCAAAGAGATGCTCTTCTGATTTTCCATAAATAAATTAATGAATGAAGAGCTTGGGTGCTGCACAGTGTCACACACAGAGAGGCCAGGAAACAGGTACAGCCCCTGGGGGGACAGCGAGTACCGGGGAGGGGAGGGAGGAGGTAGGTGCATGCCTGCGCTTGGGCGCCCGCGCCACTTCATCTCACTCCTCCTGGTCTGAGGCAGGAGTTTCCCTATCAGACTGTCACCTCCAGCTGGGGCAGTAGGTTTATTCTGGTGACATTTTTCACTTGGTTGCTTTAAATAGAGCTTCCAAATGTAGCTGCTGCCTCGTTTTCAAAGACAGCTCTCGCTTCCTCAGTAGTTCCCTATTTTTTTTTTCCCTTTGCAGCGTGCCCTCCCGTGCACGCCGGTTTGTGACACACAAAATGTTGGTGTCTGTGCACATGTACGCACAGATTTCTATGCTGGAGATGATCCAGAGACTGAAACCTCTGTTGATGCATAAGGCAAGCAGCAGGCATGCAGGTTTCTCCAGTCCTGCTCCCTCTAGGCAGCAGCCCTGAGCTGGAGAATCTCTTTCATTAGGGAGGCGATGGGACTGCAGCCCTCGTTACTGTTATTAATAATATTGGCATTAGACGAGCAGACCCCTCCCCTTCAGATCAAGGCTGTGTTGTGCTTGGCAGCCCACGTGTGTCTCCTGGAAGGCTCTGCTGCCACACAGACCTTGCAGGCTCCACGGAGCAAAGTGGGAAAGAAATAGAGGCACAGAGAGGGGAAGTGATTTAGTGTGGTTTCAGTTTCCTTCTCGTCGCTCCTTGGCTGCGGTGCTTGGGCCCTTGCCCCAAATTTAGGGTCTCTGGAATGGCTGCTAGAGAAGGGCCCTTTGTGGTGAGGAGGGCTTGTGGTAGTACCTTACAGATCTGTCTGCTGTGACCTGTTTGGCAAACAATATCTAGGATAGTATTTGGCAGGAGATGGGCAAAATCCTGCCCCCGAAATCTCTGGGAGTCTCTCAGGGAGGTCTCTGGGGTCAGATCAGCCCTACAGGTGAGTGTCTGTCCATTCACCGCCTTCAGCTCAGCCTCTCTTACCCTCTTTTTTTTTTTTTTTTTCCTTTAATTTTGCAATTAAGATTTATTTCCTAGCTCAAATTCTCCCCTTCCACCCTGTACTAATTCATTACTTGCCCTGCACTCCCATCCTGACACTCTGGATTTAGAACATGTCTTCTCATGTGGTTTCCCCCTGCCCTTCTGTGGCCTCATGCACCTTGTGCTGAGCTCCAAAGAGGTGAATTTATGGGGGGAGAATTTGGGGCTTTGCATTTCTGCTGAGACATGAGCCATCTCATTCCTGCAACTTCGTGAGCAGTCTCAGGACTTCCCATAGCCCCCAGACACTGCTCTTCTTTCCCTCCCTGGGCAGATGTGGAAAGTCGGAAAGATTTTCATGCTCCCTCTGAGCTCATAAATCAAGGAAGCTTAATCTCCTACATCCAGGAGTCTGTGATGAGAAAATACAGATTCCCCCTCCTCTCCCCCCTAATTTCCACCACTCCCTTCCTCCTGTCTTTCATATTCCCAGCACATCTGGTGTGCGTTAGGCTGCCAGCTGTTGCATTGTGCAGAGTGATTAAACCATGTGGGAGGAATGGGGAAAGATTTTTATCTGGGCATTCATGAGTCTGCATTACAAGCCCTTTTTTCTTTAGCTCTCCCCAGGAAGAGGTCATCTGGAGTCAGGGATAGTGGAATGTAAGAAAGGTATTGTGCTTCTCTGTGTCTTCCTCCTATCTGCTCAGTAAGAAATAAAAGGTGTTTGCACTAATGTACAGGTGTTATATTTTGGGCTGTGGCCATCACATTGGAAATATATCTATAATATTGATTGGTTGCAGTAATATCTTGCAAGGAACAATCTTTGAACACTGCTAGTTTGGCTTTGAAGTGACTTGAAGGTGAAGGTTTCATATCCTAGCGTGGGTGCCCCAGGGGATCTGGTTTTCTATTCATTCCATTCTCCTCCTGCTAAACTCCCACACTTCTCTCTCTTTCATCCCAAGCTCCTGGATTTCCTAGCATCTGGCCAACCTCTTCATTCCCCTTGCTTCCCTGTCTCCTGCAGGCTTATATGGGGTTTGGATAGCATCTGTTGCTGCATGGTCAGATGCTGCTTTAACGATGTCACTGTGAAATATTTACTGCGGGAGATTTGGAAAGCCCTGGGCTGGCAGTGGAGCTGCTTCAGGGAACCCAGGGAAACACCCATCACAGCACAAGGATGAGCAAGTTCCCCCAGATGGCATGACCTTGCTGAGAACAACACACCTGAGAGATGTAGCTGAAATATATGCTTGAACTGCAGCCAAATTCAGATTTTATTTGGGCTGAATAACCCTCTGAGGTACTCCCCTCTGCTGACAATGTGGGGAATCTCTGATATCTGTGCCCTGATTGTCAGTGTTTAATTTCCTGCAGTTAGATGGGATGAGGGTAATCCCTAGGACTCTAAAGCCTGGTGCCACCAAGCAGCAATAGAGGGAAATGTTGCTTTTCTCTCCTGAGTGACGGGACCTGACCATCACTTTGTGGACAGAGGGGACAATTACTTCTCTTAAGGGGAAATTGGTAAAAAGAGCCCCTGCTGTGGCCACATCTGGCCTGAGTGAGTCACCTCTGTGTTTGCTGCTGCCAGGGATCCACCAGCCACCATGAGGGGAGCAAAGAGACCTCGGAGGTCAGCAGGTCGGATGTGAAGGGCAAGAAATCCTCAAGCCATGGCAGCAGCCACAAAGGGAAAAAGACGGGAAGTGGGAAAAGCTCGGTTGGCTTCAGCTCCACTTCATCCAGTGGGACCTTCCAGCCTGCAGGTAAGGGGTGAAGGAGAAGCAAAGGGGGGAGAATGGGGGTGATGGTTTGCTTTGCTCCTCTCCTATATCTCTGTATCTGTAAAGACAGCAGTTCACCACCTAGTGCTGTGAAACTTTGCTGAGGGCTATTTCTTTAACCCCTTGACAAGAAAGGGAAAAGTCTTATTGCTACTAATTCCAGGCACAGAGGGAAGAAGGGAGTCAGATGAGTGTTACAGCTCCCCTCCTGTGCAGGCCTGCTGCACTGCAAGGGAAAACAGATCCAGATGTCTGAGCGGAGGGAGGAGGGAAGGGATGCTGTGCACAGGCAATATGGGCAGCACCTGCCCTCTCCTCCATAGGTGGTACTGTCTGCAGCAGTGTTTTAAGGAGTACTAGGGGAGAGACCTGAGCCAAAACCTGATAGCCAGGCTCCCCTGAGCTTTGAGTCAAAGCTTTGCAGGGCTCCCATCTGCTCTGACCTTGCTGGGTTCTTTTTTGAGCTGTCAGTGTAACGGTTAACGTGTTTCATCTCCTGGGACCCTCACTGGGGCTGGAGGGACGGTGGTGACGCAGAGCCCGGGGGGAGCAGACACGTGCACGTGTGGATGGGATGAACCTTGTTGTGTGCACCTCTCCTGCTTGCTAGAAAGCATCAAAGCAAGCAGGCGTGGAGCAGGGCTGGAAGGTGACAAAAGCATCCTTCAGCTCAGTAATTAGCCTGTGCCAAAGGACCTGCCTTGTGACCGTGCTCCTGTGGCTTTATGGGCTGAGTTACTACCACCACAAGCCTTCCTGTATCTGCTTTCCCTCTGCTTTCCCCAGGTACCTCCTGCAGCAACTTGCAGTGCTCCCAGGACTTTGTGACATTCCCCAAGCTTGAGCAGGACGACGAGAAGTACCGGAAGCCTGTCTCTTCCTCTTCTTCTTCCCACTGCTCCCCTCTGTATGAAGGCCAGAAGGGGGACATCTTTGAACAGAAGGTGATCTTCTCAGGCTTTGGGTCCATCATGCGCTTCTCCACCTCTGCAGTGAGCCAGCAAAGAGGCCGTGATGCTTCCCCCGTGGACTATAAGGCCACAAACCCTGTCAGTGGCCCTTCAGTGGGGACCAGTGGGACCAGTAGTAGCAGCAGCAGCCACAAGCGGATGCCATCCCTCAGCATGGAGGAGGGAGAGGTGCTGAAGGAAAAGAAGCACAAAGGTAGCAAGAAGAACAAGCATGGACCTGGCAGGCCAAAAGGGGGCAAAAGCAAAGAGATTTTGGGTGCCCAGCTGGCTGGGTCCACATCTACTTCCTCGTCACCCTTCTCTGGGGGATCTCTTGTTAGTTCTAGTGTCGGCAGCTCTTCACGGTCCTTCAGCCACACAGGGAATCTGCCCAGCCTCAGCATGGAGTCCCCACTGCTGGGTTCAGGTATGTTCTCCCTTAGGGCTCCAGGTGTGCATGGTTCCTCCCAGTCCTGTTGTCTTTTTCATCATATTTGGTTGATGTCTGGACCTGTCTGCACAGAGTCCAGTCCCTTTAATTCAGTCCCAGGAGCTATAAAAATCTACAGCTAGGTCTTCTCTTTCCATCTCAGCCTTCATCCTAGAATCTTCTCCATGTCAGCTTCTCAGTCATTGGAGCTGGGCTGCAGATCTGAGCTGTGGGGCATCTCAGACCCTTTTTGCTCAAATACAGGAAAACCTCAGTTGACCAGAGCTTAATTTCTAAAGCAATAGAGAGAAATGTTCAGAGGCCAAACCGGAACAACCACAATCTGACCCCAAATGAGGAACTCTCAGCAGTGGTTCAAGTTTAACTCCTCTTTTAAAAGCAAAACGTCTCATCCTGGTCTTACCACATCCACACAGGGTTGGGAGAGTGGCACACCATTAACTCTGCTGAGAGGCTTCCAGCTGTTCCCAGCTGGAATCCCCTTCCCTGGCCTGGCAGGGATGAGGGCAGCCAGGACGTGTGGCAGGAAGGGGTTAAGGCAGCAGGCAGAGGAGGGGCCTGCTGCTCAGAGCTGAGGTTTGACACTGTTCTGGCAGCAGAACTTGTCATCGGTCTATTGTGGGTTGTTTGCAGATGCTCCAATTTAGGTCAGATTGCAAGGAGGGGGAGGTATAATTTTGTTGTGTGCGCCTGGGAGCCCTGGCCCATTTGTCTGCCTTGCCTGAGAGAGGAGAGGAGCTGCAAGAATTGATGCAACTTCCATAATCATAACCTTAGGCCAATTTTTTTTTTATTATTATAATTTTTTTGCCTCCCCCCTGGAGCAACAAAGGGATGTTTCAAACAGGAGGAGGCTGCCAGGCCCCGCTTGTTCTCCCATTCTTCTCTTGCGGAGAGATGTTGGCAGAGCTCTGAAGGAGCCGGCTTTGGGCACTGTCTCAGCTGCATGCCTGAGACAAGGGGAAGTCAGATGGGTCCCCTCCCTCAGCAGCAGCTCTCTTCTCACCCTTTCTTCCTCATTTATCTGTCCGTGCCCCACCATGGTCCCTGGGCATTGTGGAAGGGGAGAGGTCAGCTCAGCAAGAGCGTGGTCTCTTGACTAGAACAGGCAGCTGAGAGTGGGACTGTCTCTGAGTCCACTACCTGCTTCTGCCACTGACTTGTGCCTTCTGTGAGTCACTTGGTGTGATGATTTCTCTGCCAGATTGTACTGGGGTGCAAGGAGCAAACAAGAAGCAGGTAGGGGCAAGGCTGGGAAAGTTTGTGATACTTTTTGATAGAAGGACTGTGGGCTGTGACCATCCTCGCTGCCTGCCAGGTCATGAGGTGCTGAAGTGCATGTTACACTTGGTCTTGTGCATTGATGCCACCCTCCCTTTCTGAGATCAAGCCCTGCAGAAAACCAGCTGCTTCCAGGCCACAGGGAGGGGAGCGTGGCTCTCTAACACGTCTCCTCCCCTTGCAGGGATCTACACCAGTAACAAGGACCCTATTTCCCACGGGGGCGGAGTGCTCCGAGCTGTGTGCAGTACACCCCTCTCTTCCAGCCTGCTGGCACACCAGGGTACCTCGTCTCTCCCACAGCTCAACCGGTCACCCTTTGCTAGCACCATCCCAGCTTCCTCCTCCTCCGTCTCCACCACGCAGGTAAGAACATCAGGACCAGGAGAGGGACTGTAGTTGAGGAGAGCGTTGGACAGTGCAGTCGCTGGCAGAGCAGGACCAGTTTATGGGTGCAGAGGAGTTGCTTTTTCCACTTGGGAACAGCTACTCTTCCCTCAGTTTGGAGAGGAGCTGCCAACTGCAGCTTCCCTTAGAGTCAGTAGAAAGATGTGGGCAGTTTTGTGTGACAACCCACACAACCTGTTCCAGGGTGGGAGGAATTACAGCCTAAAAGGACTCACTGCTTTCCATTGATGGTGAGCAGAGCACAGACAGTGCTCAGGTGGCAGAGGCCTGGCTGTTGGCATGTGCTGTGTCCCATGCAGCTCATCCTCTGCTGGACCTTGCCACCAGTGCCAGCTCTACCTCACTCTGCAGCACAGATAACTTGCTGGGAGGGCTCGCACGTCCCAGCTGGGTGGGCTGTGCATGTGCCAGGACACAGAGCCTTGTCCTTTGTCAGGAGCTCGCTGTGAGAGGTGTTACACAGGGAGGAGAGAGTTAGTTTTACAGCCTCCGTGTTAACGTGGCTCGTTCAGCTCTCTTGGCTCTGAGATGGGGCTGGGAAGATTTCAAATGTCTAGCAAGACTTCCAAGGAGATATTTTTAACACTCTCATGAGCAAGCTGGGTTCAAGAGTCAGAAAGAGATGGAATAATGAAGTTATTTTCCTCTTGTGTTTTTTGAGAAGTCATTTCTCTCCTCTCTCTCCCTCCTTGTTTTGCCATGTAGGTGTTCTCACTGGCAGGTTCAACATTTAGCCTCCCTTCCTCACATATTTTTGGAAGCCCTCTCACATCTGGGCTATCAATCAACCCACTCTTAAATCAATCGGAAAGCAGCCGGGCAGGTACGTGAATCAGAAGGTATGTGAGTTGGGACTTCCAGAGGCTTCTCCCTGGAAGAGTCGAGACAACTGCATCCATATTTCTCCAGCTGCCCTCCCTGCTTGTTCCCGTCCTATGCGTGTGGGAGCCAGGGGCTAGGAGAGAGGGACAGTGGCTTTTTCCCCAAGGCAGGTGGTGCTTGTGTTTGCTTTAATGAAATACTGGCTTGCAGTCCTGGAAAAGCACGTCTGCTGATGTGTCCTTTGCTTAATGTGTGTCCCACCACACTGGACATGGTGCTAGAAAAGTACAAGGACGTTAAATCCTGCCCTGCACAAATTTATTGTCTTTTGACACACTAAAGCTGTTCAAATCCCAAACCTACTGAGAACTACTTCACTCAAAAGAAGTTAAAAAGTTTTTGTTGGGGTTTTGTTTTCTGTGTTTCTTTTTAAATGAGAAATGAGAGAGACTCACACTCTCCATTTTCATCTTCCATTTCTGTTTTGAGTTACTTTCTGCCCTTCCCCTTTGGCTTTGTCATGAATGCAACAAAATCCACTGTTTTCAACTTCCAAACGTGCCAACACTGAATTACTTTACAACTGCTCATTTTTTCCCACCAAGGCAAATTCATTTTTCTTGGAAAATTGCCTGGTTAATAATCAGGAAACATGAAGCATCATAAGATTTCTTTTTTCCCAAAACAGAGCGGGCCTGGTTTTTGGATTGTTTTTTTTTTTTTTGGTTTGCACTAGTAGTTAAACAAAAGCACCCTCCTGATTTTCAGATGTTACAGTTAGGGGTGCAACTGTCTCATGCTCCCCTAGCCCAGAAATATTGGCAGCTCAGCATGCTGGATGCTGAACTCCTGGGAGGTAAAACTCTGCCCAATGTCACACTGAATGACAAGCACTTTAAAACACACAGTCCTCCTTAGAGGTGGCTCTGAGTTCTCTGGATAATCTGACACCAATGTGCCCTTATTTGCCTTAACAAGTGTGCATGCCTGCATGGAAAGCATGAATGAACACGTGTGCTTCCTTACAACCTTTGCAAGCCCATGGAAGGTGTCAGTCTGTCTGTCTCTCCATGTGTTGCTGGCAGCATTTTATCTCTATGTTCCCATCGGCAGCTTGCATCTGCTTGAGTGCAACGGGAAGGTAACTGCATAGCTGACCCCAGTGAGAGTCAGGGCATTGCATGGGAGCTGTGAGTCAGGAGGGATTCAGTCACCTGGAATTAAGGAAGGAATGGGATGATTCAAAGAGTTATTCTTCCCTCCTGGTGATGGACAGGAGAGATGACCCACTGCCACTTCCCCTTTGCTGTTATTTTGGCAAGGTGCTGACAGAAGGAAGCGAGTCGACTGTCAGGAATAGCCCTGTGGTTCAGGCACAACGCGGAGGCTCGGCAGTCTGGGTTCTGTTCCAGCCCTGCGGCTACTAATGAATGAATCATGTAGGCAAAATCCAACATACCAAGTGCTCAAAGAAGCCTGAGCCTTAGTTTCCATTTCCAAGATTGCTCTTTTTTTGTTTGTCTGGGATCTTACAAGGTTCAGGACGTGTTTTTTCCAGTTCCAGGCAGCCTTCAGAACACCTCCTGGTTTTTGTCATGTTTAAGGTTTGTCCATCACTATCTCCTCCTGCTGGAGCTACTGACCCAGGGGGTGTTAAGCCAAATTCACTTTTTTTTTCTCCAGGGGGATTAATTAACATGTATTAAACCTCCTGTGTGGGGCCATTTTCACTTAAAAGTATGGTGACTGCTTTAATCCCAAATCATTAACAAAATGTTTGTGAAGTTTTAAGTAATCCTGCCTTGTTTTTAATTCAGATTACCTTTTCCTGAGAGTGTCTGTGTAGACAGATCCCATGGAGACAGAGCTTTCATTGCAGTAATATCTGCGCTCTTCACAATTGTAAAGTGATGCAGGGAAATGGTATTACCCTGTCTTACAGATGGGGGAACTGAGAAGCTGTTATCACTGATGCAGGTTGATACCAGGGTGCCTTTGGCAGTACAAAAAGTCTGATTCTTATCTTCCCACTCCCTTAGCTACTGTCTAGTTCTTCCTCCCACGCCTTGTCCTGGATCCTGCTTCGTTATGCTGACAGGACAAATGTATTTATCTTCTCTAGTTGTCTTCAAGCCTCTTTTTTTTGTACTTGTTGCCTTGGAAAGTGCTGTCTCTGTGTGATAACTCAGTCATCTCCCCGTTCTACAGACAAGAGGGTGGTGTTGGCCAGGAGATAATTGAATATGGAGCCTGGTACTGTTTCAGAAAACCTGAATTTATATATGTGCAACCCTCCCTTGTTGCAAGCAAACAACGTGACAGTAACAAGCAGGCAAAGCTTCGCTGGGTGTTGGTTTGGTTGCAAGTTAAAACTGTTGCAGCAATGCTGGACACGATGGCTGTGGGCCATCCAAGGACCTTGGATAATCCAAGGACCCCTTTTTCAAAGGGTTTAGGTGGTCCTTGGATGGAAACAATCCTGAGAAGCACTGCTGTAGGCTGATTCTTCCCAACCTTCTGGTAGCTGATCCTGGATTGGAGAAATTAGGAAGTTCTCATGCCTTGTGGTGTCCCTGAAATCAAGACTTGCCTCCACATGGTGTCTTATACTGGGAGACTACTGCTGATTGGCAACTACTGGTCACCTCCAAAAGCATTGGCTTCTCCCCAGGAGGGTGAACCTGTAGTAATTGATGGCCAGGAAGACATTCCCATGGGGATGGATGGAGGAGTGAGGATCCCACTCGTACCTGTCCGTAAGAGCTGCTGAACAACAGCTGCGTTTGCTTGTTCTCAGCAGCAGAAAATACTGCCAGTAACTAATGCCCCGCTCAGGGCATAACACTGTAAATCACAGTGTTCCCTGCAGGAGACTTCCTGGATTCTTGCACATAAGAAATGTCTCTTATTGTGTGAAGAAGAGGAGGGGCAAGTCAGCCAGCTGGTGCAGGCTGTAGTCACATCTGACACGTCCCAGAGCGAGGGGAACGTGTGTTTACGGGCTGGCAAGCTCTGGGGATGGAAAGCAAATGGCAGATAAATACACTTCACTTCTTAATGACTCTTTGGATGGGAGATATCCTGCACGTGTACACATGCACAGCGGCTGTGTCCCCAGCACTGCGGTGTCCTGGGGCAGAGGGATGGGTTTCAAGGTAGCTCCTGGACATGGAAGTACTTCTTTAAGCTTTTTAGAAAAGAGCTGAGCATCTGGAAACTTTGGAGGACCCCAGCTGGGTTTTGGGAATGGATCCTGGAGGCAGAGAGCTGTAGTGGCACTTGGGAGAGCTGAGTGGGGCTTTGGGCAGGATTGACAGGATGAGAGAGTTGGGGCTGTTCAGCC